GTTTCCTCTGCGAGACGGAGGCGCCGGCCCGCGGGGCATGGCGGAGGGCGGGGGATGGGGACGGGGACGTCCGGGGCGCGCGCAGCCGGAGCCCCCCGGGAAGTTCGGGGTGAGTGACGGGCTTGTGCTTCTTTCGACAGCCATGCCGCAATGAAGAGCTTCTCACCGTGAAAGGAAAGTAGGTCGCGCCCACTGAAAATGCCTTTAAGGGACAAATACTGTCAGACTGACCACCATCATCACGGATGCTGTGAACCAGGTACTCCCCTCCTCTGTCCCGGAACTTCGACCTCCTTTAGAGCCCCTCTGCCCACCGTTGGTTTCCTTCTCGTTTTCTTTCCCTTCTGCCCCAGAAGTCATTCCTAAGTACAGCAGGTTGTAATTTTCTCTAGCATGAAACCAGTGATGAAGCTAAAAGCCTGTACAAACAAGAGGTCCCCCCTGCTTGATCCCTTAAAAAAGTGCTGCGAGTGTCACCTTCAATCACTTCCACAAGATCAGTCACTCAGTCCTTTTTCCTTCTCTTTCAAGGCAGCCTGCAGTTAGGAGTGTACCCCTGTGCTCTGTGAATGTTGAAAACTGAAGAGAGAGGAAGAGATAGGTAGTTGAATAATACTAGATCTGTCTTCGTGAACGTGGTTTCATTTAAAACTTACGCGTTAAAAGTTTCTGAAGCATTTTTTAATCAGAGAGTAATGGCAGCCTCCTAAAAATGAGTTTTTTTTTGAATTGCAAAGTTTCTTGAACTCGTTGGGAGAATCAGGTTTTGCTAAATGCAACCTTTAGAAAAAAATGGGATTATTTCGGTGGAATACATTAGTATTTCTAGGGCGTTTTATTCAACGGAACTTTTAAAAGTTTAATTTATAGAATGAAAAAGTTGTTTTTTGGAGTCTGTGAAGATATTAGCAAACTTTAATTTGATAAACGTGGAATGTAAAATGTTGACAGGTTTTTCTCCTTAGAATTTTGTTGTGCTTTGTGACAGACGTTTAGAGATAGAACTTAAAAGGGAATTGTTGAATGCATACTGTCACTAAATCCAATAAAGGCTATGCTATTCTAGTTCAAAGGCAGATGTTTATCATTATTTTTGACCTAAAAGTTATTAGAATTTTCTAAATACTTTTGCTTGCTTTTTGTTGGAGCATTTTAATTGCACTTATGAACTTGGGTTTTATCAGGTAATTTTCTGACTAATGGGAAAAATATCAGGGCTAAAGGGGAAGAATTTCCATTTTCATAAAACTTGGCTATACATGAGAATAAAGATTGTACTACGACCCTGTCTGCTGTCTTTGCTGAGATTGGTAATGACTCACCTGTACTCATAAAACAGGTGATCTTGGGATCTAGTTTCTGTTCAACTGCCCCTGACCTATTTAACCCTATTTAACTTTCTGTACCCTTTCACCCTGCATATTTCATGTATTTGAAGTGAAGCCATCTCACTTACATTTTACTGATTGTTGATTGGCGTTTGCTAGTTTTGAACTGTAAGGGTGTACACTCATGTATCACTGACCTGTTAGTGTAGTTTTTTTCTGAGAACACTTCAAGTCATTGAAGTTGAATTAATGAAATCATCTTATTTAGGATGAAGTTTATTTTCTCATTCTTTAACATTATTATTGAACACCTATTAGGTGCCAGATACAAGGCAATGGGGATATAAGTAGTAAACAAGACAGATAAGGTCCTTCCCTCATAAAACATTTGCGTGGGAAGAGATAGACATAAATAAGTAAACAAGTAAAGGAGATAATTTGTGACTAAACCTTATTTAGTATGTTCTGGTAATTATAGTTTTCTAAAGACTTTAATGCTTTATTAAAGAGGAAGTTGGAGTTGAACTTTTTAATGTGAACTGGAATGTTTTTGCTTCTTTTTTTCACCCATTAACAAGAAATCAGATAAATTGCATTGTTTTAAATTTTTCCTTGTTTTTTACCAGAAACTTTTTTCATGTAGGTTAATTTCCAAACTTACCGGGTTAACAGTGATTACTGTTTCCTTGCTTTCTTAGCTAGAAGTAAACACTTTCTGAGGATTTAATTCAATAGAAAGCTAGAAATTAGCCTGGCTCGGTGGCTCAGCCTGTAATCCCACGCCTTTGGGAGGGTGAGGTGAGTGGATTGCCTGAGCCCGCGGGTTCGAGACCCGCCCGGGCAGCACGACCTCATCTCTACAATAAATCAAAAAAATCAGCCGGGCGTGGTAGCGCATGCTTGTAATTCCAGCTACTTGGAAGGCTGAGTTGGAAGGATTGCCGGAGCCCAGCAGGTTGAGGCTGCGGTGGCCGGGAGCGGCCACTGCACTCCAGTCTGGGCGACAGAGTGAGACTCCAACTCAAAGAAAAAAGCTAGAAATTTGTTAACTTATACGATAGCTCTTTGTGTTTATTTCAGGGGAAGGTATGTGCTGATTGGGAGGATGTTTCCAGGACTGGAAGAAATATGGTATGATAGCTTTTAAAAGAGGATATCCTCAGATGCAGGGAAGGCAGCAACATTATGTTTGAGAAATTCTTTTTTTTTTTTTTTTTTTTTGAGTCAGGGTCTCACTCTGTCACCCAGGCTAGAGTGTAGTGACATGATCACGACCATCATGACTCATGGCAGCCTCCACCTCTTAGGCTTAGGCTGTCCTTTCACCTCAGCATCCTTCCATGTCAGTATCCTGAATACCTAGGTCTACAGGTGCATGTTACCAAGCCTGGCTAATTTTAAAAATTGTTTGTAGAGAGGAGGTTTTACTGTGTACCCCAGCTGGTCTTGAGCTCCTGGGCTCAAGCATTGAATGTGCCTTGGTCTCCCAAAGTCTGAGATTATAGGCATGAGCCACTGTGCCTGGTGAGAAATTCTTTTAATGGGCTCTCCTGAGTGGTCTGTCCTCATTTGGATTATGAACAGTGGGCGAGTCCCCAGATGATAGCAGTGTATTCCTGAGGAGGCCGTGGTGTCTTGATGGAATGGTCAATTTATAGTGAAGGGTGGCATTATAAGCCTGCCAGCGTATGTAAAGTATTTTCTCAGTTATGTCTTAATTTTTTTAATGGAAAATTTCAAACCTTCAAAAATAGGATGGTGTAAGGAACCTGTTGTAATTGTCACACAGCTCTACCAGTTATTGTCACGTGGGCAATCTCTTTTCTTCTATAGCCTCTCCTTCCCCCACAATTCCCTTCTCCACCCTCCAACTACTCCCCCACCCCGTTATTTGTAAGCAAATTTTAGACATCGTATGTAGGAGGATCTTTTAAGTGGCTGTTTTAAGGCTGAAGTAACTCTTAGTAAAATGGACATTATCATCTGGGAAGTGTGTTCTTGGAAAGATGTAAGGAAAGATACTCTGAACAGTTGGATTTTTTGGTTGGAGGGAGAAATACTTTTTTTCTGAGTGGTCATATAGCCTGGATGGGTCTGATCTTGGGAGGGATGATAGGATATATAGGAATAAATTTTATAAAATATTAATGCATAAAGTTTCCTAGAGTGGAGAGTATGTTTTCAAATAAAGAAAAGATTGTTTTTTTAGAGTGGGAGCTATACAGATGGGTATACCAAGTGTATGTGTTGCAAACACAGCTAAGTTAGCCTGGAGCTTATTTTGAATATTGTCTTAGGATGTATATTTATTTGGGTGGTAGCAGTGTTCCAGGAGTGGTGGGTAAGAAAATTTTGCTTGAGCTTTAAAATCTGTTGCTGTCATGTGGAAGTGGAAGTTGGTGTATTATAGATGGTTTTCTGGGGTGTATACGTAAATGCCAGGGCTCTAAGGAGAAGTATGTTTTTCTCCAATATCTCTCCCTTATGCACTTCTGTTTTTTCATTCTCCAATTCTAGAATTCTTGCTGCTGATATAGCCAGACCTTGAAATGGTTAGTTCTTTACAATAGTGTGGGTTTTCACCCTTTCTTTTGTAGTTATTATTTTTTGTAAATAATTATCTGCTGCTATAACGTACAAAAACTGAAAGAGATCCTTCTAATTTGAATAGATGGTATTATTGATCTGTTCACAAACTTCTGCTGTTGTTTTTCTTTTGAGTTGGAGTCTCACTCTGTCACCCAGACTGGAGTGCAGTGGCCGCTCTCGGCCACTGCAGCCTCGACCTGGTGGGCTCCGGTGATCCTACCACCTCAGCCTTCCAAGGAGCTGGAACTACAGGCGCACACTACCACGCCTGGCTAATTTTTGATTTATTGTAGAGATGAGGTCTTGCCAAGTTGCCCAGGTGGGTCTCGAACCCACGGGCTCAGGCAATCCACTCACCTCGGCCTCCCAAAGCACTGGGATTACAGACTGAGCCACCAAGCCCGGCCTATTGTTTTTCTAAGGTGTTGAATTCTTCTCTTAGATTTTGAAAAAAAAAGATTTTTCAGTTTTTGGTGTCAGGAAAGCAGTTGATATATACATGTTGTTGTTGTTGTTGTTGTAGGTGATGATGATGATGGGCTACTTATTGAGCACTTATTATATCCCAGGCTCTGTTTTAAGCAGTTTACCTGCAATAGCTCATTTAATCCTTACACAGTCCTGTGATTTAACTACTTTTATTATCCTCATTTTAGAGATGAGAAAAGAGAAGTCAGAAAGTTTATTTTGCTTTAGTTGTGTCTAGTAAATGGCAGAGAAGGAATTCAAATGCAGGCAGTTCAGGTCTGGCGTCTTATGTTCTTCATCACTGCAGTTAGTACTCCCCCAACATGAGTTTTGTGTATTTATGTTCTTAGTTTATTTAAAATATTTTTAAGGTGTCAAAATTGGGGAAATTTTGCTTATTGAAGTGAGTCGGTCCCGAGACATAGTTCCTCCTGTGTGTGTCTACTGAGCACCACACTTGAAGCATAAAGGAAACTCTAAGCCTGTATCTGTCGACTGGCACAGCAGACTGACTTAACCCCTTATCAGAAAGCTGACTGCTGGGTAAGCCTGAGCCCTGAAGCGATGATAGCACAACATGATTGAAGTAACGGTGCTTTTCTCCTCACACTAAGCGGATGGTCTTGGGTTGTGATGTAGTAGAAATTATAGTATTCTAAAAAAGAGGGACTTAAAAAGGCCAGTTTTTCTCCACTACAACCTTCTCTTTTTATTTGATAACTGACGGAAAAGCTCAATTGTTTTTCAGTTGCCTTGATTCTTTTTACCATAGTCTAATTTATTACATATTTATACTGCTGATCTGAGAATTTTGGAAAGTAGGGATGATATAGACTTCTGTATATGAAAATTTTTATTTTTAAAGTGGTAATGTTATTTCTAATTATAAACGTGTTCTTTCTAAAATGCACACTCCAACAAGTCAGGTTCTGAAACAGCATTGACATGTGAGGCAGAAAGTGAATATCATCCCTGTGAACACACCCTGGCAGAGCCTTGATTACATTTTGTTGCTATCCCTCTAAGATTTTTCTGTGTATGTTAGCGTTTATACCCATACACAAATATACATTGAATGTATTTCTGTGTTTATCTGAAGTGGTATCAGTGTACATGGGATCACATTCTGTAGCCTGTTTTTGTTGCTTAACAATTCTTGCTATCCTCTGTTGTCAATACATGTAGACCTAACTTGTGCTTTCTAACAGCCATGAGAGATTCTGTTGTATGATATTTCATAGTTTATTAGTCTGGTCCCTATTGAGAAACTTTTATGTTTGAAATTTCTCTCAATTATCTATATATACAGTGCTGTGAAACACAACAGTGAACATTCTCGTACATCCATCATTGTGCACCTGTCCAGTTACTTCCTTAGGCAGTAGTTTTTGACTTCTCTCATAATTGTCCAGAGAGCTGTACCGGATTATACAGAGGATTTGGGGATAGTTTATGAGATATGGCTAGGCCACCATTGTCTTACAATTTTGAGTAAATGTTCCTCTTCAAGGCGCATAATAAAAAGGCAGACATCAAGAATGTGTAGTAAATAATACCAAAACAGTAATGACTTTGCATTTAAACCTATTACTTAACCTTAAGTAGCCTTGATGTTGCCTTTGAGAATACTTTTAGTTTTTTTCTCCGTTGTTTCATTTTGCTTTACAAAGATGATGGTAAATGTTTTACACACACACACACACACACACACACACACACACACTTAACATATGGTGCCAAAAAATATATACATATTTTAAGAGATATTATCTATGTATTACTGCTTTTCAAAGTTGAATTAAATTACGGTAGCAATATATAGTATGATGTTCGCTCAACTGTGCTTCCACCGTTTTCTTTGTCCTGCCTGTTGCTTGGTGATGCTAGCATTCATTTGATTAACTTTTGAGCAAACATCATACTTAAAATGTGTATACATTTTTTGGCACGTATACACCACACACACACACACACACACACACACACACACACACACACACACACACACACACGTGTGATTATCCTTAACGTGATTATCGCAAAACATTGCTTCACTTTAATAGTATATGATTTAAATAACCTTTTTTTTGTGGGGATTGGGTGGGTATTTGTCTTCCATGTAGTTTATATCCTGGAACCTGGAGATCCTCCTTTGTTACAGCAGCCACTGCAGACATCCAAATCTGGTATTCAACAAATAATTGAATGCTTTCGATCAGGTATGAATGCTTTATGTTTTTCAGTCTTCACATAGTAGTTAAAACTACCTAGAAGTCCTTAGAAATAATTTTTAAAAGTACTTAAATGTATGTGTTGGTTTTCTTCATAGAATATTTTTAATTGTTATGTTTTCAAGAGGTAGATGAATAAATATTGATGGTATATTCTTTTTCAGTAGTTAATTAACATATGACATATTAATTTAAAAAATTGATTGGTATGGTTGAAATAAATACATTATGCATTATGTTTGTTGGTACAGCACTTTTTAAAAAATATCCATTGTTATCTTTTGGCATGTTCTTTATAAATTCTCAAGCAGTAAATTATTCTGTGTCTCTGTAAGCTTTGGTACAGTATTTACTCAGAATGAGATATCACTTGGTCTGGATTAATTATCTTATCATCTCTATTTATGTGATTCTCTTTCTTTTGCCTAATCCTGAAGTTTCTGGAGTTTCAAAATCTTTAATAGAGCACAAAATAGGAAGAAGATATTCCAGCCCTAATATCTTCAGATATATTTATTTAGCTTTTATTTCCATTAGCTTATTATAAGAATTGACTGTGTAATGCATATATTTGTGTAGTTGCAATCCAGTACTTTAAAGTAGGTGGTATTTACAATATGTAAAATGATTAAGAACTGTTAGAACCCCTTGTTATCAGTAAGGTATTAGGTTGCTGTGATTGTTATGGTCCACTTGTCCACCCCTTGTAGATTTGGCTTCTCTAACATTACAGACTATTTAGTCAAATGAGAACAGGCAAATAAACATGACTGATGGAGACCTCACTGATGGACACTTAAAAGATTAGACTGTCCTGTCATTCTTTGAAATCTTACTACCTTAATGAAAAATTTCTGAGTTTCAGAGGAAAAAATAATTTGTATATAATTACTTGTTTTGTATTGATGATAAATTTATTGAGATGCTTGTTTTTAAATTGTTGTAAAGGGGGGGATGCATATCTTTGCTTTACTTTAGGATTCTAAGAAATAGGTTGTTTCTTAATCTAAATTAAAAAGTTATTTTTTAAGAAAAAGTTATTTTTTCTCTGACTTGCTAAGATCCATTTTTTTTTTTTTGAGTTGGAGTCTCACTCTGTCACCCAGACTGGAGTGCAGTGGCTGCTCCCGGCCACCGCAGCCTTGACCTGCTGGGCTCCGGAGATCCTTCTGCCTCAGCCTTCCAAGTAGCTGGAACTGCAGGCGCGCGCTACCATGCCCGGCTCATTTTGATTTATTGTAAAGATGAGGTTTCGCCA